ATCACTGCGGAGCAATTAAACAGGACCAAAAGTCGTCTAGCCGTGCAAAATGGCCCTAAGGATACGCTTTTCGGTTAATTTGTTATTTAAACCCGTCTCTGCCTGTCTTTAATTTTATGGATTTCCTTAAAAGGTTTATGCCGTTGGTCTTAAAATGATAGCGGGATAAATATTCAATACAGCTTAGGCTTCCTGTTGCAGAAAAAATATATTTTTGAAGTGTAGTTTTCAATACACAACTTCTATTTAAAACATTAATTAAAATCCCGTTTTTTACTTTACATCCAATTACGTTAAATATAAATCCCTTGCAATTAAAGAGAACAAGACCCACAATACTCATTCCAACTAATTAAAGCTGACGCAATCCAGAGATAAGAACCAAAGTCGACTATTTCCTCGTTAACGTTGTATTATTTTTATCCGGCCACAATTTCCCGTCAACAACAGCAGCAGCAGTAAGGCTTCCCATAAAAATCTGGGGAATTGGCTCATGTTACGCTTTAATTAGTATTTAATTACTCAATAATGCAAACCACGCGTCGTATGAGCAATATAATTTATTTCGTCTCACGGAACGCGTGAGAGGAGGAAAGCCGTATAAATTAATAAAACATCAACGGGACGCCATTAATTTGATTTCGTACAAAAATATTTTTTGCGTGAGCAGTTTGCTGGTCAGAAGTTAAACGATCCTAACTTTTGCCAAACCTGATGAGAAAACACGCAATTGTGGAAGGGAGTTGCGCCTCCTGCCCAAAAAGTCGTAAAAGCACAAATCTCGTTTGGCCGAATGTCGAAAAAGCCAAAACGCAACACAAATTGATTTGGACATTCCTTGTCCGAGTCTGGATAGAAATTTAGTTGTTTCTCAGCGTTAAAATAAATGGAATTTCTCGAATTAATTAGCAAATGGTGAAGGCAGTTAAATGAGAAATGTGCCGCCGGCTGCGTGTGTGGGTTCCATAAATATTCGTCCGAGCCAATAAAAAAGGTGGAGAGCGCCTTTGGTCTGATATATAAAATTGTTTAGTTTGCGAGTGTTTGGCACGCAATGTTTCTGTATTTTCCTTTCGGCTTTTGGACCCTCTCATCGATGGCCAAGAGCTGGAAAGTGTTTTGGCATTTTGCTTTTGGCTTCAAGAGCATTAAAAAGGTGGACAATGTGTTAATTGCTTTGGACACGTCGTGAAGAAGAAGGAAGGTGGTGGTGGAAGTTCCTGGCTGGGGAAGGTCTCTTTAGGGCGGAATTAATTGTAGATAAGAACGAGTCCAAATTAGATATAGCTAAAAGCTTTAAACTGTTAAGATATAGGATAGGATGTGTTCTTTTTTTTTTCTTACAATATCTACTAGCAGGAACTAGAATTTATTTCCCGAGACAACAGAAATTGTTGTGGCAAATATTATAGATACTTACTAATCATAGTTACTAACTGGTCATAGGTGCTTACTGTTCAGTGTTACTTAATGTTCATAGAAACTTACTGATCATAGTTAATTACTGGTCATAGTTAATTGCTAATCATAGTTCTATAAATCTTCCGATTCTTCCGCTCAGATTTATAACCTTGTAAAAGTATATAAAAGATCAACTGCATAGTTTCATTCAAATAGCTTGCTCCTTAATTTGATCCAAAACAAATCTCGCACATCTGTGCATATGATTCCCAACTGGTTCTAACATCCCCGGAACGAAGTGACTTCTGCCGGCCAAGTCTCGAAAATGTGTTGTTACAAAAGTTGCAAGTCATTGTTTATTAGTGTTCAAAGCTAGTAACTGATCATACATACATACTTACTGGTTGTAGATACTTGCTGTTCAGAGTTACTTACTGATCATAGTTACTTAATGTTCATAGAGACTTACTGATCATAGTTAATTACTTGTTAGAGTTACTTATTACTATAATTACTTAATGCTCATAGATACTTAATGTTTAGAATTAATTACTGGTTATAGATAGTTAAAAAAGAACAAAAACCAAGGCTCAGTATGTTATATTTTTGATCAATTTTACAGATTTATTACATATTTACTAACTCTAATTCTCATTATTCCACAATAAATAATGAGACCTTCCGTACGCTCCTCAAAAATCCAAATTTTGTTTGCCTCTCTTTTACTCTCTCTCAAAAATAATACTTTCCCCGCATTCACTATCTCAAAAAAGTGCCCTCCTCTGCGCTTCTCAACCAGTGTACTTAAGCACCGTAGCAAACACAAATATTTTTGTTCTTCTTCTTGAAACTATAAATCGTCCGATTTTTGCTATGTCAGCTACATATATGTATGTATATATAGTCCACCGATTCGCCTACTTATATACTAGTAAAATAATATGGAAGAATTACTCAGCAGTTTCATTTAAATAACTTGCTCTTAAATTTGTTCCAAAACAAATTTCGCACATCTGTGCATATGATTCCCAACTCGTTCTAACATCCCCGGAACGAAGTGACTTCTCCCGGCCGAGTATCAGAAATGTGTTGTGTTACAAAAGTTGCAAGTCATTGTTTATTAGTGTTCAAAGTTAGTAACTAGGATCATACATACATACTTACTGGTCGTAGATACTTGCTGTTCAGAGTTACTTACTGATCATAGTTAATTACTGGTTAGAGTTACTTATTGACTATAATTACTTAATGCTAATAGATACTTAATGTTCAGAGTTAATTACTGGTTATAGATAGTTAAAAAAGAACAAAAACCAAGGCTCAGTATGATATATTTTTGATCAATTTTACGGATTTATTACATATTTTTTACTAACTCAAATTCTCATTATTCCAAAATAAATAATGAGACCTTCCCTACGCTTCTCAAAAAACCAAATTTTGTTTGCCTCTCTTTTACTCTCTCTCAAAAATAATACTTTTCTCGCATTCACTATCTCTCAAAAAAGTGCCCTCCTCTGCGCTTCTCAACCAGTGTACTTAAGCACCGTAGCAAACACAATTATTTTTGTTCTTCTTCTTGAAACTATAAGTTTCTAATTAAATTTGAGTTTAAATCCAACATTTGGCTATTATAAAATCTGTGTTAAATCAAAGTTTTCTATCACAATAACTACTAAATAAAATCCAGCAAGAACAGATGCCAACTCCGTGGCCTTGTTTCTTGTACTCCACCAAGCCTGCAGAGAGAGTGTAAGTAAGAACTCATTTAACTCCTTTAGGGTTACATGACGATCTTGAGATTTAAGAGGCTGTTTATGTGGGAATATTTAAAAGGAAGTTTGCTTTAGACAAATAAAGAAATTAAAGATGAATTGCAAACAGAACGATCTTTTGTATGGCAGCTATATGATATAGAAGTCAGATTTTCATAAAATTTTACACAAAATTCTAGATTAATTATATATCAAACTTGATGAAAATCTGTTAAAAACTGGAAAAGTTTTCAAAGTTAGTAATTGATCATACATAGTTACTGGTCATAGATACTTACTGATCATAGTTATTGACTGATTCAAATTAGTTTAAATTTTTTATACAAACATAAAATACTGTTATTACTGTGTACTGCTGTATAAGTCATTAAAAATAAATTGTATGGGTTAGTAAATAATAATTAAGCAGTTTAGCCATAAAAATTTCCCTTTTATGTAATTCTAACTTGAACTTGTATCTTTTACATACCTTTTTTTTGGAAACCTTTTCTATATCTCTCCCAAATGCAAACACTTCAGTTTTTCATCATCCACAGGCGCAGAGGGCAACAACTTATTTTCAATATGAAATTTTCTCATATTTTTTTGTGTTCTTTCTGTTGCCTACTGTGTTGTCTGTTCATTTAGTTTTACGAGGCATTTGAGATTTGCATAAACAACAAACAGCGCATAGTGTGCACACGGAACATGAGCATGAAACTGACACAACAATGGCAGTTCTCTCTTTCTCTGTGTGTGTGTATTTCACAAAAATCCACCCACACTCGAGCCAATAGAAATTTCATGAGACCAACCAGGACAACAACTCTGTCCGTTTCCCTGTTTCGACAATTTTGCAGTTTGCAATTTTGGTCAAATAGATAACAGAAAATAAATATAAATTATTACAGAGTCGTCGCAGTTGTTCCCCAGTCGGTGTTCGGTATGAGTGGATTTTTGGTTCAGCTTCTATTTTAATATTTATATTAGATATTAGCATGACTTTCAATATAAGAAAAAGATAAATATATAGACTAAAAGTTACTAATACCAACAAGTTAATCTAGAAAAATCATATTTTCATAATAACAATTTGTGTAAAAAATGTATTAAAATGCTTTTAGGATCTCTCTTTCAATGTAACATTATATTTGTTAGATTGATATTGCATTCTACAATTAACTCCTACAAATAGGGTAGACCCTTCCTCATTACAGGGTATTACAATAAAATCAAATTGAAATTAAAATGGCTCCTTTATTTTTCTTCATTCAAAATCTTTAATTTCAATATTTCTACTCACTCTTGTTTGTTTTTCTTTGCATTTGTTTGAACTAGAAAAAAAATATTTTTGCTTCAGCTCAAGTGTGTAAATTTCTTTTAAGAAAATATGTAAAATTATTTAACTTGACTTCCACAGAAGTTGTCAATGCAAATAAAGAAACCAATAACTTTAAAAGCAAAAAAAACTTGCTGGAATATGCAATCAACAAAACTCTATAATAAATTGCTATATACAAAATCCCGCCAAGCACAATAATAAATATTTTCCGGAAAAGTGTGCTTTCGCCAAGATAAGTGCAATTGCAGAAAATTTCCACGAAAATTGACAGATTAACAACAAAGAAAAATACAACGACAGTCGATGGCTGGGACACGTCGACAAAGTTACAAAACTGACCAGGAAATTGACCAAGTCCTGGACGAGATAAATAGCAAAGAAGGCGGGCAAAAAAATAAAAAAAAATATATATAAAACAAGTTAAACGAAAAAGTTGGCCATTCAAAAAGAGGAAGGGAATATTAAGGGAAAAATACGAAAGGTTATAGTCTCCGTCCTGGACAAAGTTTCTTGCTAATGAGAGTAAGAGTTTTCCTTATTTTGCGGTGAAAACTTGTAACTTGTCGCACTTCCTGTTTTTTTCACCTTTTCAGCCATTACTTCTTTCCTTTTTATGTTTATTTGGCTTAATCAGTTTGGGCCTCCTATTTCTTTTTTTTTTTTTTTTGTTTTTAACTTCACTTGTTGGCATAAATAATTCATGAGCTAAATATTGGTCCAGTGCTAGAACTTTTAATTAAATCAAAGTTGACTTTAATTAAATACTTGAATGGTTGAGAGCGAAAACAAAAGGCTGGCCCCAAAAATTCTCTCGACTAAGCTATTAAGCCTTAAAGTCTAATAAAATAAACAGTAAACACACTTAATGCCTTGATTACCAGCATCAACATGGGGTTCAAAGTCCACTACCAAGGACTCGCTCTTGCCCAAAGGACTCCTGTACCGTCCCGTCCTGTCCAAGACGGTTTGGGTTTGGGCTTGTGTTGCCTCTCGGTGTAGTTTACTCTCAGATTTATGCCAGTCCCTCCCCAAGTTGACCTCAAAATTTGTGGATGCTTTCGATCTGGGAAGAGTGTGGGTTTTGGTTTCGTCTTAAATCTGCCAGAGAAACACATGCTCAGCAAAGACCACAAAGTACAGGAAGAGAAGGTTTCAAATAGGGACCGAATTCTAAGCCTCACTTTACAAGTATATTTAATATACAAATATCTCCTATTGTTTTCTACCCTTCTCGTTTTAAATTCCTTAAATTTCTTTACGAGACATTTGTAAATTTTAATTTATTTCCTTGTAATACCAGTTGGAAAATAAAAATCAAGAGGGCGAAATTTATGTCTGGAACCACCCCCCGAAAAACAGAATTTACCACTTTGTTGTTCTGTTCCGTTGAGTTTTGGGTCGTTATAGCAGGAGCAGGAGCAACAAGGACCAAGGACCAAGGAGCTGGAGCAAGTAGCACAAGCATGAAGTGAATTTATAGCAAATGATGTGGCTCTGCCACTCGACTCGACTTTCTACTCTCCACAGCCATTGTGGCCGTGCGTCTTAAAGTAAAATATTGACAGTTTGAGTCGAAGCAAGTGTAGCATAAACTGCTGTCAGGGCCACAAAAAGTTTTCTATTCCCCAAAATTTTCTTTCTTTTTTTCCGGGGGAAAAAGGGAAGACTTCTTCTAGGAGAAGCAACAAGCAAAGCAGAAAGTAATTGCTTTCTCCTGCTCATCGTGACTTTTGGGGGTTTGTTGCGGTTGAGACTTGCTTCTTGACAAACCAAAAAAGCAACCATGGCCATTGTGTGCCATATTTAATTTCCGAACTTTCCAAGCAGCTTTTCCAAGCCACAAGGCTTTAAAGAGAACAATATGTAGCTGATTTTCAGAGGAAAATACTTGTCTGATTTATGAAGAGAAATCGGTATTATTATTCGGGTTTCTGGGCCATCCTTCGAGGCCTAGCCTGGCCTCCTGCTTAATTAGTTACTCGATTCATTTACATTTACATTTACATCTCCATAGCCCCGGGGCACATGTCCATAAATGTCTAATTATTTTAGCCCTGAGTTTGCATTGTTTATTAAATTGCCAGCTGACAATTTATGCAAGTGATTTGTCTGTCCAAGCGAGTATTCTACTCCTTCCAATATCACAACCAGCATTTGTTGTTATTGCAAGAAACGCTTCCATTGATTTAATGCTGGGTCAAAATCTATATTATATACTTCTATTTATGGAATATATTGCACAGGAAATTGTATCTCAGATAATTGCATATTAAGAATGTGTTTACTCTTGAGTTTATAATGGGTGATGGTTTGAAAAGTATAAGTAAATACATAAATGTGCATAGGGACTAGAATCTAATAAAATATTCTTATTTAGAAAGGAATTTTCCTATCATCTATTATATTTACTTTAAGAAATTTATATTGTAACAGCTATAAATCACTTTATGCGACTCTCAATCCTTCAAATTCTCATTATTTTCTTTTTATATGTTTAAATCCGCATTCAATGTGTCTTCTCTTCAAGTTTTTTATTTTTTCATTTTCCCTGGGTGTTAAAGAGCTTTTCCCGTTGCCGCTTATCAACTTTTTTCCCCTCACTTCTATATAGTATATATCTCTCTGGAAACTGCTAGCATATTCATTTTTTCCATTTTCGCATTCGCTCTATTCTTTTTGTTTTCCAAAGGATTTATGTTTTTGGGTTATGGCGCGCTTGTCTTTGAAGCTCTGAGAATTTTCTCGTCTAGCGCGATTTTCTTTTCTCGGTTTTATTTTTTTAATTTTTCCCCATCATTCTTGTTCCTTTTTCCATTTGTTAGTTTTGATAACACCCACACACACAGAGAGAGAGAGAGAGAGTACGAGAGGGGAGTGCAGTTCTTAAAGCCTTTTCAAATTCTATTATGCGATTGCTAATGAAAAGGACAAAATGTGGAACTGCTGACTTTCAGCTGTCTGGAACGAGTCCTTTTGCCTTGAGGCTGTGGGTTGAGCTTGATATCCTTTGAATGCAATTAACAGAATGACTAATTAAGTTTGCTGAATTGTTTTCTAAAGGATTAAAGGGAAATTTGAGTTTATTATGGAATTAATGCAGGTCTTGGGGAGTTGTTTTATAAGAGTACTTTAAATTATTTAAATTCTTTTTGTAACATTTTTTCTGTAGCAGCTAACAGTTTTTCTATGCTTTTTAATTAACAAGTCTTTAAAAATTAATCTTCAAATTGCGCTGCCTAAGAGATCTGCTTGCATTTTGCTAATTACAAGCACCGAGATTTCTTTCTTTCCGTTTCTGTTGCCTGCAAAGACATCCTGCGTGGGCAAACATCCTGGAAAACATTTAACAAGCTTTTCCTACATTCTCATTTTCTCTGTGTTACTTCAACTTCTACTTCTATGTATTTCTCATGGCCTTATGTGGCTGGGACTACTTTGATAGCCGAGTCTTTCTGTGTGTATCTGCAATAATATAATGCCATGTAATAAGGAAGTAACATTTACAAAAGCCAACGGCTTGCAACAGCCAAACAAATACTGGTGCATATGGTACAGTTACGGTCATAATTATAGGTATTAAAACATAATAGAGCTTGTAGAAATTCTGGGAAATAAAACTCTAGGACAATGATTTATTTTACAACTCATTTGTTATCTCATGTTCATTTTCTAAGTCGAAGAAATATAATAATTTTAATTTCTCAAGGTTTAATATAGTTTATAAAATTTGGCAGGGTTGGGCACAAAAATCTATTTAGGAGGCCGTTTAAAAAAGAATAGTTAAAGCATTTGAACGCATTCTTAACAGTTTCTCAGCTTACAAAATTGGATTTAGTATTTAAATGATTAATTGACATAATATTTTTTCACATTTTTTCCAAACCTTGTGTACTATCTTTGCAACCCCCACTGTAGATGTATTTCAGATGCATTTGTGTGCTTATGGAAAAGCGGTCGACGCGTGTAAATTGCAAAGAGTAAAATCTTGTAAAAGGCAAATTCCTTTCAAATGCAACCAACATTTGCCGGATAGAGAAAGAAGGAAGTAGATGTGGGTGGGTTCGGGGAGAACTACTTAAAGTTGCAAGCCCTGGCACTAGACAGTGAAAATGGGGCTTCTGGGAGAAAAAGAAATGTGGTGAAATTTACACAGTGCATTCAAGTTGACTTTTATAGTATGTCATACAACAAACATCAAGGAGAGGAGAGGAGGTATCCTTCGTCCTTTACTACCACTCCCTCAATCATCACTACGAGGACAGATACTAAGCAAACCTTCTTGTATATATATTTTTTCTCTTTTGTAGATACAAAAAAAACCCTAGGTAGCTTTGGCCACAACAACAATGGATCTTTGTTGTAAGCTGGAAATTTGATTGAAGATATTGCAGGTGTTGAGTGGAGTGGAGTTGGTTAAGGATAAGGATAAGGATGTAGTGCTTGGGTAGCAGGACAATGTCTAGATACTAGCATGAAATGTGGTCAACTTGCTACTTGCTCAACTCCTTTCTGCTGGCATTCTCTAGAGTCTTCTGGCTAACCACAAAGTATTGCAATCTAAATTCATTGCCCTGGTACCTGAGATAATCCACAAATAATCGTAACTGAGAGATGGCACAAGAGCCTTTTGCATAGTAAACTAAGATTTTTGTCGTAATTCAATGTATCTTAGAGATACTTAATCTAAGGGTTGTGTGTCAAGTGGTGCTTAAGGGAGTTGACAGGGTTAAGCTGCTTTGAAGTTGTGGGTTTTATTATTATAAAGACTTTTGTATACTTTCCTTAATTAAAAACCATATTTAAAATATATGTACAAGACCTTTCTTGTTTTAAATTTGTAGCTCTCTTTGTTGATTTATATCATTTGCATGTGTCCCCCAATTATTTTGACCACAAAAGCAGGTAGGACTTTGGCTTGTGTCCTTCTCTCTGGACTCTGGGAGGAGGGAAAAGTGCACCAAAGGTTGGACAAACACTGCACACAATGCGAGTGGCAACCAGAGGATCCCTTTCCTTTCTTTGCTACCCTTTTTTGCTTTTCAAGTTGGTCCTTTTCTAGCTCAAGTGTGTTTGCATTCTGCAACCACACACGCAGGCAGGCAGACAGCCAGACAGGCAGAAGTGTGTGTGCATGAGAGGGTGTGGTGTGTGAACTGGTTCTTTATTTAAGCCACAAAACAAACAAATAATACTGGTAACCTGTGACTTGATTTTTGATTTGCCCAAGGAATAATGTGCAATGCCTCAAAACACCACCACTCATTCAACATCAAATTTATCTTGACTAATAACTATTCATTTAAGCTTTACTAATCCAATGCAATTCGCCTCCCAAAACTTCTCCCCTCAGGCAAGTTATAAGCAATAGTTTCTCACACACAAAAAGTTAAGAGATATTAAATTAAAAAAAAAAAAAAGGGGAACAAGAGGCGAGAGAGCGAGATAGAATAAAGAGGCTCCAAGAAATCTATATAGAGAGAGAGAGAGGGTACAGCATAGAATTCCTCCAAACTGGATAAGCAGGATTAGAGCCGATCCAAAAGGACGACAGCAAAACTAGCTGCTGACACTGACACCGACAACAAGCGACAAAGTCAAAGATGTTGAGCTCGCTGGACGCGCTGGCTGGTAAGATAGCCACCGCCACGCCCGGCACCGGTGCTGTGACGGCGGACAGCAAGAGCAGCCAGTCGCTTCTTCATCATCATCATCACCATCACCATCATCACCAGCATCGCATCGACTATGAGTATTCGGCGGTGGAGATTGAGCCGCCGGCCGAGCAGTTGGCCAATTCGCCGCGGAGCGAAAGAGAGCGACTGCAGCAGGCGCAACAGGCCTATGAGGTTCAGGCCCAGGCCGAGCTGGACTTTGGCCTCGCCGAGGTGGATCCCAATGCCTGCCACAAGCTCACCCAGCTAAAGGTGCGGGTCAGCAGTCATCAACCGATGCAGCAGCAGCAGCAGCAGCAGCTTAGTCACAGTCAGCAGAGTCATCATCATCAGCAGCAGCAGCAGCATTCAGTGAATAGAACCCTCCAGCGGCATCATCATCATCAGGTCCAGTTACATCATCATCCCTATCAGCGACCAAGGACCTCCTCATCCCCGCCACCGCAACAGCAGCAGCAGCAGCAACAATCGTCCTACCAGCAACAGCTCTCCCAGCTGGCCGCTCTGCAGGATCACCATGAGCTGCTGCAATCCCAGCAGGAACTCTTTCACAAGCAATTGGCCAATATGCAGGAGTTTCAGCGTGAACGGGAGCGTGAACGGGAACGGGAGCGGGAACGTGAACGGGAACGGGAAAGGGAGCGAGAAAGGGACCGGGACAGGGAGCAGCGTAACAACTTTATTGAGACCAGCGATTACGAGGACTTTAAAATTCGTCTCAGGGATAGGTAAGTGTGCGAGCGATGATTTTCAGCAAAACCAACCCCACACTAACTAACCTCTTCTTACTAATAATTTTATTATTTAATTTTGTGTTATAAACCCATTTTCATATTAATTGTGTTACATTTTTATTTATATCATGTGAAACATTGTTAATACCTAATTTTCAAGACCTTTAATCCTTCCAATCCACCCAAATAACTAAGTTATCATCATGTTTATAAAGATAATATTAAGTTCGGAAAAGACGTTTGAATTTAAATTTAAATTTATTTGTTTTAATGTTTATGAACTGATGAAATACATATTTGTATATTATTGTAAATTAATGTAAATAACAAGCATTATTTTCATGAATTTTAAATCATATTTACGATCATTTTATGATCTTAATTAAACCCTTCCAGGATATCAAAAGCTTATAACGCCTTGAAGGAGTCATTTCCGACACTATAAATCATATATATTCTTGATCAGAATCGAAAGCCGAATTGATCTAGCTATGTTGGGCTAAAATTAATTTTTTTTTTAATTTTCCGATTTTTATAGGTTACATCGTTAAAATTTAAAAATAAAAAAAAATGAAATTTTTTTAATATATTTTAAATTTTAAATTTGCATTCAGTTTTATTAAGCTAACAAAAACAAACATAGGACAGCTTTCCGAATTAAAATTAATGCATTTTTGACTCAGTTATGAGTTTTTCAAACTTAGATTTTTCGAATAAATTTTCATATAAAAATATCGATAAGCTTATTTTTTAACGATTTCCGATACAATCCTATAATGTAAGGGTATTTAGCTTCGGCTTCCCAAAATAAGTTTTCATTCTGTTTATTTCATAAGTCAAACTAAACACAATTTTCCATTTAAACCAATTTAATACAAGGTTTCCCTTCCCATAAAAAATACATTAAAAATAATAACAGCTATTGTGGCCAACTCTCATTTTGTTTTTTTCACAAGGACTCAAAAGCTAGACTGCATTGCATGTTGGCATGCACGATTAGAACTAGTTTTAAAGTTCGACTTAATTCATTAGCAGATATTAGCAAGAAACCTTATAATTAGCACTAAAATCTGTGGTCAAACATGTATACATGAAAAATCCATTAAAATGCACACTAATACCGGTTTTAGTCAAACACCAAAAGCTAAATAAATAGTAGGTCAGGAACAATTGAGAATGTAATTAAAGCTATTACATTTGTAAGATTAATATTCATGAAAGTAAAGTTGTTTAATAATTTTAATTAAATATCAAACCCACAAAATTCCATAAATAAATATACAATTTTATTTGTGAATACAGAAATATTCATCTTTAATTTTACGTGACTGTCGTGTTGTGACATCTTCAATGTAAACACGCCACAAAATCAAAAACACTGAAACACGCACCTTGGCAACGCCTCCAAGCATGCATGCAACACACAACCACAGAAAGCAAAAAAAAAAAAAACAAACCAAGAAAATATACAAAAACAAAAAATAATAAAAACATTTGTAATTTTTGGCCAAACGAAAATGTCACGTGACAAATTGCCGGCAGGGCGAAAATGTGCTCGAGCCCAAGTAGCGAAGGGAAATCAGCTTGACAAGGTGCAGCGAAAGGTGTAAGGAAAATCGAGTTTTCCAAGCACACAAGCTTCACACGAAACTTGGCACACTCGCACATTTGCACTCCCGCAGACACACACACGACAGGCGGGCTTTATTATACACATTTGTTTTGGTCTTAACTAATTTAATGTGTAATATCATTTGACATATTGTTTTCATGTTTTCTGCCTTTGATTTGTGGCCCTGCCAAAGGTTTCTCTTTATTTATTTCCTTACCCCATTCTTAGCCCACCTTCACACATGCAAATATTATTTGGTGGAAACGATAGGCGCCAGTTTGACAGACTTACCCCTACATTAGTCGGAAAATATAGTTTTGTATGTGAAGAAAACAATATGCTAGAACTAGCAGGAAAAATATTTACATTCTTACAAGGGATATGTTTATTATTCATATTTATAATATACATATTCATTTTGTGAGTTTTGTATTATTTCATATATATTATTATAAGATAGTTTAGTATTTCGTTCTTTGTTCTTTTCTAAGGCTTAAAAAAACGACCTCTAGATTCATTTTGTAAAGGCAAATGAGTTTTTTTATTATTCATGCTTGAAGATCCGTTTAAATATCGTTCTAGTACTATTTCTGTATAAATATATTTCCTTTTGTTTATTTATTCATTTATCTTAATATTAAATTATTAAATGAATGACTTAATTATTAAAATAAAAATGCTTAAAAGTCTGTAAAAAATCCATAAGAAGCTACAACCTCATCTGCATAATCATAAGAGGTTTTCCTAGGTTAAGTTCCTAAATAGCACCCTTTTTCTTCATAACCCTAATACTAAACCCATCAAAAGAAATATTAAAATTCCTCTGAAAACATCTCCAAAACATTCTACTAAAACCATAAAGACCCACAAAATTAAAAGAAATAAATTATCCTTAAAAAATGTTCCTTCATCCAATTTATTTAAGGCTTCGCTCTTACCCATTCCAAAAACTGCCTCTGAGAGAAAGCAAACACTGCGTACATTTTTTATAACCCACTGAGAAGGACATTTTATGTTTACTGCCTTAGCAATTTACAACGTTTGTTGCTATTTTTGTGTGGTCTGCTTCTATTCTAGGCTTGCTTTTATTAATTTTTTTTTTGTTTTTTATGGCTATTTTAAAAAGCTTTGACATTTGCGTGCCAGCAATTGCGGCTGAGTAATACATTTTCCGAATTGCGAATCGTTCATTGACTTTAAAGCGCGTGCTGCAATGCAATTAGCCCAATGGTAAATGTTGCATTTGCATGTGGCATACAATTAGCTGGCCTGGTGCTTCAGATGAGCCACAGATAATGCAAATCGTCTTCGGGGCTCATATAATAATTATCCATCGCCCACAGTAGGCGTAAAATCATGTACTGAAAGTGAAATGACTTTGTTTCTAATGCACGACAAAAAAATAAAAAATAAACAAAATGCAAATAATAAACACTGCAGAAATGCTTACAGTCATAAACAAATAAAAGTGGGGAAACAAAACTCGTGTGAGAGGTTTTTCATTTATTAAAGTGGCCATGAGTGGGCGAGTGAGGAGATGAGGGTCTCTCTGCTCTGGACACGTAAGCAAATAATACCTTCACATGTGAATACTACCAGGGTGTGAGCTCTACAAGATATGTAAAGACCTCAAAAAAAAGTAAAGAAAAACTGGGGGAAAACAGCGCCAGATGAGCTTTTGTGTGGCTAAAGGCAAAAGCGACAATGGAAGGCGTCTGGCAAAGGCAGAAAAATTACAAAAGCAAGAGAGAAATTTCCAAAGGAAAATCTTTGCGTAGGTGCCTCTCAATTGTGACAAAAAGGGAGGGAAATAATAATGCTCAGGGAATAGCTTTAAAAAATTCAAAAAATCCTTGAAAAGGTATCATCAATAACCCTCTAAAATTTTTTATTTCCATAATCTATAATTTTGTATACATATATTTTCCAAAATTCATTTATATGCACTTAATCTGAAGGTTATTTTCTTAAATCCCAGTCCCTTCCAAGTATATATTTTCTCTCAAACCATTCTCTCTTTCTATTCTAATTTTTTATTTTGTGCCTAAGCAAGAGCTAAAAAGAATGCTGGGCTGCTGTTTTTTCTTTGGTCCTTGGGCAAAATCAACCCATCTACACCCATATTTTCTTGCAAACCCAAAGGCCACCCACATTTTCCATTCCCACAAAGTCTATTTATAACCCAAAGCCGCCTGCATTGCATTTCACTTTGCAGCATTTTTCTCTGTGTTTTGTTTCATTTCAATTGTTGCTGCTGCTGCTGCTGCTTTTTGCTTCTGTGTTTGTTTGTTTATTCAGCACACCCAACGTTTCTTTATTTTGTGGGCGAGTGTGTGTGTGTGACCCAGGAAAAGCTAATTTAGCTGCCGGCTGAGGGACATTCAAGGATAACCCAGTGAATAAGCACAGCTCTCGCGACTTTTTCTAGGTTTTTTTTTTTGTTTTAGGGAAATCGAAATTCAACCGAGAACGGTATGAGAATATGCATTTATCTCGACACTGAAATGAAAAACTTTTAAAATTATAAAAAAAAAAATATATATATATTTCATTTTCAAATTAACAAAGTGAAAATAAATAATCAAACTAAATCAATTTCATCTTAAAACAGGAAAGGAAGCTAAGCTTCTAGTAAAATTATAAAAAGAATAACTATAGTTTCATTTATATAGCTTTTTAGATTTGTTCCAAAACAAATCTCTCTCTGGGCATATAATTCCCAACTGGTTCTAACATCCCCGGAGCGAAGTGACTTCTGCCGGTCAAGTATCAGAAATGTGTTGTGTTACAAAAGTTGCAAGTCATTGTTTATTAGTGTTCAAAGCTAGTAACTGATCATACATACATACTTACTGGTCGTTGATACTTGCTGTTCAGAGTTACTTACTGATCATAGTTACTTAATGTCCATAGAGACTTACTGATCATAGTTAATTACTTGTTAGAGTTACTTATTGACTATAATTACTTAATGCTCATAGATACTTAATGTTCAGAGTTAATTACTGGTTATAGATAGTTAAAAAAGAAGAAAAACCAAGGCTCTGTATGTTATATTTTTGATCAATTTTACGGATTTATTACATATTTTTTACTAACTCAAATTCTCATTATTCCAAAATAAATAATGAGACCTTCCCTACGCTTCTCAAAAAACCAAATTTTGTTTGCCTCTCTTTTACTCTCTCTCAAAAATAATACTTTCCCCGCATTCACTATCTCAAAAAAAGTGCCCTCCTCTGCGCTTCTCAACCAGTGTACTTAAGCACCGTAGCAAACACAATTATTTTTGTTCTTCTTCTTGAAACTATAAATCGTCCGATTTTTGCTATGTCAGCTACATATATGTCTGTATATATAGTCCGCCTACTTATATACTAGT